TGTCGGAGTCTTCCATAGAGGAGGCTTATTTGCCATCTTCGTTACTGCTCCTTCTAACTAGAAATGATAGTAAGGAATGATGATGAAAAATGATGATGATGATAAAGAACCTAGAAACAAATGATAAGGATATGGGCGGCTCATCGCTCAACCTTGCTTGTCATCATCCAATTTTAGGTAAGCTTCTACTCGTTGCTCAATTTTGTTCAATCATGATTTAGATCTACGTGTTGCTCATCTTCATCATTTGATTTTGCTCATCTTCATCATTTGATTTTGCTCATCATCATCCAATTTTAGGTTTAGCTTCTACTCGTTTCTTGATTCTGTTTGATGCTAATCTAGATCTGCTCATTATCACTTGCCTTCATCATTTCCTTCTGCTCATCTTCGTCTGATTGTGCACGAGCAAAGTGGAGAAGAGAGGGCAAAAGGGCATTTTTATCCTCAAAAAATAATCCCAGGATTGATTTTGCAACACTAAAGCTGCTTGTGGTATTAGGTAATCCCATGTAAGGTGAGATTGGTTTTGGGACTAAATATTCATTTTAGCATACCAAACATGAAAAGTTAGGATTACTCATTCCCAATGCCAGTCCCTCCCCTCCACTCCTACATACTAAACAGGGCCTTAGGTCTATAAAGTGTCACTTGTAAAAACATTAGTAATAGGGAATTAGATAAATATCTCTATAATCGAGGAATTCCTAACTTCTAGAATATATTCAAACAAAATTTAAGGTTGTGTAAGTATAACGGTCCCTACACCCTAAACCACAAAATCACATATAATACTATATATTCACACAAATATGCATGCACGATCATCTATCACCTTATAACCTCCTTATTCTTTCTAACTGAGTCCATGGGCTACCAAATAACAAGACTAAATCTAGATATCCTGACTTGTCATAATTAGCTCTCTAATATTTGAGGGGTAACCCAGGCAAAGGTTATCAATCCCTAAACTTGGACTATGGACTCCCCTGTCTACAAGGTATCATATAATTGCTAGTAGATATACCCACTCCTAGAGTGAGTATCATCGGTTAAGTTAGAACCACACCTAGCCCCTGTTAAAGTTGATGCCATAACTAAACAACTCTTGGCATTACCTAGATATTGTCTTTGCCATGTAAACTTAAATATACTCTCTCATATCACAAGATGAATTATCTATGTCACAAATGTATATCATATTTATGATCATGCCTATCTCATATTCTCAACATTGTTACCACATATGCAAATCACATATTTTTTAATAATTCATAATTCCACAATAACAACAATTCATAGTTCCATAACAATCTATAATAATTCATAACCTATCCCATCCAATACTCAACTTTATTGCTCAAACTTGCAATACATAAATCACATACACATTCATCTTTCACATATTCTCATAAATATATATATATATATATAGTTCATGCTTACATATTTAATTTTCCTTAAGAGCATCATTTACAAAAATATATAATAAATGCTAGAATTAATAGATGGGAAAATTTAGGTTTCTAGTTGCCTCTAACCCTTGAGTTAATCAAAAGGGCACTCAAACCACGCTTCCACAAGGCTTCCAATCACGCACAACAGCATGAAACATTAATATATAATTAACATCATAGAATTTATCATTACTAGGCACAATTGTATACTCAATGCTACCATGACCTAACATAACACTCTAAACTCATTTTGTTAATTAGTTTAGAGTTTTAATTAACTTTATTAAATTCATTCAACTCCCAAGAGTCTAACTAAACTCACTCTAAGTCTCCATAGTCTGTTATTTAACCATAAAGATTCTTTATTAGATCTAGGTTTTAGGTCAAACCTCATATAAAGGACAAAGTTAATAAATTTCACATAAGAGAATAAATCAAAGATCCAACAGTTGAAAATACCAAGTTGGATGTCACTAACTTTCTAACCAAATTTCAGCCAAATCTAACAATGAAAAAATTCAGAAATGAAAATTTACTTAGATTACTTTATGACAATACGAAAACAGCTATTACAAATGACTAAGTTAGTAACTCACTAATCAAGAAACTAATCAATGATTGAATCATTGAAAATGACTAATCGAATATTATGAACTTGATGACAAAATTTAAGCCTGATCCAACGATGAACAAATTCAAAAAAGTTGATTTACTAAGATTGTTTTGTGAAAATGTGAAAATAGTTGTTACGAATGACAAAGTTAATAACTCTTTAATTAAGAAACTAATAATGATCTAGTCATTGAAAAGAACAAGTTGGACATTAAAAATTGTATGACCAAATTTAATCATGATCCAACGGTGAATAAATTCATAAAAGTTAATTTATCAAGACCGCTTAGTGTAGATGCGAAAATAGTCTTCTATCTAATTTTCTCTCGAATGATTGTAGCTTAATTCTAAACATAATCTTGCTCTCATGACGTAATTTGACCATTAGTGAAACTCACAATGAACTTCAATATGGAGTTTTTCTTTATATAAGAATGGTACTCAAACTCATTAATCTCAATTTTCCTCAAAAACACAATTTAATTATTAATTAAATCTTGTAATTTTTTTAAATTAAATTTCTAAAAAAACTTAATTTATAATTTTCTTAAATTAAATTCTTAAATAAAAATAGGATATTACAGCGTTTGCCCGTGAAACACTTGCACGAGGGGCATCCATTGCACAACCACCTCCTATAGAGGAGTTCCATATGGGAAATGCCTCCAAATTTTCCTTTTCAACAGAGATAAAAAATAAACGGGCAAACATATACTCTTCCGCTCCTAGGTGTGCCTTTTTTTTTTTTTAACCTTCTATTTCTTAAAGTCATTTTTTATTTTTTTGTATAGTTTTTATTTTTTGTTTCTATTTTTTAAATTTTAATTTTAATTCATGTTTAATAATTTTCGTAGTAAATATTTGTAGATTCTTGAATTTTTCTATTTGTGATATTTGTCAAGAAAGATCATGCGTTCATATTAGTAAAATTTTTATTTTATAACTATACGTTTAAATATTTTCGTTCCAAATAATTTTTTTTTCCTATTTTGTTTATTCTTGCAAGGATTTCTCTTCTTTTTCTTCTCCGTATCACGCTTTCCACATTGCCTGTATGGCAGAGGCTCCGTCCACAGATTCCCCCCTACCGTATCAACAGTAGATCCTTCATCTTTATATTTTCAGTACTGTCTACTATTTTTATTTTCACCATCATCTTAAAATTAATACAAATTAGCTATATTTAATAAACATTAAAAAATTGGTTATTTTATATTAATTTCATTAGCCACATTTAACTGAATAATTTTCAATAAAGAATGGATAATAGAATTTTACATGCTTATAGAATAAAATGATAATATAGTCATTATAAATAAAAATAAAAGACATATGAAATTGAAAATAAAATGAAGTAAATGATTTTTAATTTAAAAATGAAATTGAAAAAATTAAATAAAAATTTATTAATGAGATGAAAATCATTTGTTAAATATTAATTTAAATTTTTGAAAATAAAAAAAGAAAATCAAATAAAAAAATCTATCTCACTGATAATGTTTTTTTTTTTTTCAAATTATAAGGGGCCATTTTATGGAAAGGCCCCATAACGGCGTTTCAATAACAAATGCCCCCACCGGGGGAGGGGGGCGTGTCTCAAAAATGCCTCCACAGGGGGCATTTCTATTAGCAACACCCCTTGTGGTAGCATTTATCACAAACATATTCATAAAGAGTGTTTTTTACAAGTAATCCTACTTGGACTACGTGTTCATTGATGCCCCATGTAAAGGTGTCTTTTCATGAAAAACACTCCCACAAGTGGCATTTTTATGATACTTTTAGTGTTTTTTGAAAATGCTGCCATGGCAAAGGCAACACCTACTTTGGAGGCGGTTTTCCCCCCTTAAGCTTGGAAAAAAAAAAAAAAAAAAAAAACACGCTCACCTTCACAATTGACACGCTTTCCAGCTTTCCCGTTCCGTACTCGACCTTGTCCTCAAAGATCCTCCCTCGCATGGTCGCTTGTTGTTTGAAGCTAACCCAAGTTCAACCTTGGGTTCGAGTCATTTAGCATGCTTCAGAGTATTATGGTTTAATTGTAAAAAAAACCTTATGGAAATTTCAGTAGCCATTAAAGACTTCTCATTGTAATTTTAGTAGCCACCTTTTAATCTTTTCCTTTGCCGCATGGAAATTCAGTGGAGCAAGAAACAGTGAAAATTAGGAACCTCACTGTCAACATCCTCAGTCTGTTAGGTTAAGTTTGAATTGCGATGTTTTAATTATATCAGAGGGAACATTGCTCCTTAAAATACTTAAGGATACCAATTGCATCTTAAGAAATGCTTCGGAGGTGGATTTTCTCTTTAATCCAAAATTCAAAGAAAGTCAATGGAACAAATTAAAACACTCACACATGCAAACCAAAATACAACGGTGTCATGCTGTGCAGACAAATTAATGTAAACTACTATAAATGGCTCCCTTCCAAATAATTTAAGGTGGTGTTTAGATTTATAGATTTGAATTTACATTTAAAATTTTATATCTAAATTTTATGCATTTTAAATTATTTGTTTAGATAGTGTAAAAAAATTTCAAAGAAAGATTAAAGATGAGTTGAAATTCAAATAGGAAACGGAATATTGAGAGTAATGGGTCTATTTCTACTTTTTTTTATCAATAAAAGGTGAGAATAAGCTATCAGAGAAGATATGAAAGTGACAAAGACAATAACAACAAAAATATGAAGAGAATGAAATAGTTAGAGTGGCTAGAACTTAAAATAATTAAGATACAAATGGATGACAATTGAGACCACATGAGGAGAATTATCCTGTATATGATTTAGAGCTTACAACAGTAGTGTTTGCTCTGAAGATTTGGTGTCATTACCTATATGGTGTAGTGTTCACTGTGTTTAATGACCATAAGAGTTTGAAATATATAGTGGATTAAAAGGAATTGAATATGAGGCAAAGAAGGTGGATGGGGCTTCTTAAAGATGATAACTTTGAATTGAAATACCATCTGAATAAAGCTAATGTGGTTGCTGATACTTTGAGCAAGAAGACTTTGCATGTGGCAAGTCTTATGATTGAGGAATACATATTGATGGAGTCATTTGTGGAGTCGCAGCAAGATGCTTCATTAAAGGCATTAGTTGGTATCTATTCCACTAAGATTAGCAATGATTTTTGGAAGGAATTGAGAATGGCACAACTAGAAGATGAAAATCTTTTAAAGATTAGAGAAGAGATTGAAGTAGATCAAGCTATTGAGTTTGGATTCAATGATGATGGTTTTATGGTTTATCGGGATAGGATTTGTGTGCCTGACGATGTGGATTTGAGAAAAGTTATCTTGAATAAGGCTCACGGTAGCAAATACATGATCCATCCAAGAGCTACAAAGATGTATCAGGATGTGAAGCAGTATTGGTGGTAGCCAAGTATGAATAATGACATAACAGAGTTTATGACTCAATGTTTGACCTTTCAAAAGGTTAATATAGAGCACCAAAGACTAGTAGGAATGTTATAACTGTTGGATATTCCTACATGAAAATGGGAAAGCATTTTTATGGATTTTATAACTGGGTTACCAATAACTCAATTTGGACATGATGCCATTTGGGCTATAGTCGATAAACTTACTAAATTGGCTCATATCTTAGCTATTTGGATTAGTAATTCTCTAGAAAAGTTGGCAGAGATCTATATCTGAGAAGTGGTAAGATTACATGGTGTGCCGAAGAGTATAATTTTTGATAGAGATCCAAGATTTACTTCTAAGTTTTGGAGAGCTTTACAACGTACCATGGGTATAGAGTTGAGATTTAGTATAGCATGTCATCCACAAACAGATGGGTAGACAAAACGAACCATACAAACTTTAGAGGATATGCTTTGAGATTGTGTATTAGAGTTGAAACGTAGCTGGGATAGTCATCTCCCTTTGGTTGAATTTGCTTACAACAACAGTTACCACTCCAGTATACAAATGGCACCATATGAGGCATTACATGGGAGAAAATGTAGGTCACCTCTTTACTGGACCGAGTTGAGTGAAAGGAGTATGTTAGGACTAGATATTATGGATCAGACAACTCAAAAGATTGAGTTGATTAGGCAAAAGCTGTTGATAGCACAGAGTAGGCAAAAGAGTTATATAGATAGGTGTAGAAGGCTATTAGAGTTCTTGGTGGGAGATCATGTATTTCTAAGGGTTACACTAGTAACGAGAATCGAGAGATTGATAAGAGCCAAGAAATTGACTCCTAGATTTATTGGTCCTCTTGAGATTTTGGGGAGAATTGGACCAGTTGCCTACCAGATTGCTTTGGCACCACAGTTATTGGGTGTGCATGAGGTGTTTCACATGTCGCAGCTCAAGAAATATCAACCTGATCCTTCACATGTGATAGAACTAGAGGATATTAAACTCCAGAAGAATTTAACCTATAAGCCTGAGCCAGAGCGAATCATAAATGTAAAAGAGAAGCAGTTAAGGAATAAGACTATATGATTAGTTAAAGTTTTCTGACGAGGCATGGCTCATGGTAATGCTACTTGGGAGACAGAGAATAAAATGAAACAACAATGCCATCACCTATTTCCATAGGTATATATTTATGTCTTTTATGAATTTTGAGGGCAAAATTATTAAAAGGAGGGGAGAACTATAACATCCTGAATTTCTTAATCCTAAATTTAGAGGTTAATCGAGGATGAAGTAGAAATTAAAGTAGGATTAGAGATTCGGATGGTTAATTAGCATTTTGACTTGTTTGTGTGTTGTATGAATAGATATGAGTGATAGGAGTGCGTTTCAGGTCGAAGCAAGTGCGTGTAGTGAGAATAAATCTCATTGTGCCATGCGCCGCAGCTTATGCTGTATGTGCCACAGCACATGGACCACAAATTCACTTCATAAGTTGTGAATTTCAAAAAATTTTAGAAAAGAGAAATTGAAAAACACATGAGATAGAGAGAGGAGAAGGGTTGAGGAGCTAGGTTAAGTTATTTTAGAGTGGTGGAAGATGATTCAGATTGGTAACTTGCCAGGTAAGTTACATATAACTCTTACCTTCCATTCTACATAAATTTATCTAAAAATGAGTTATAGAGAAATTGAATCGATGGAATTTGAGGGGTCTGATTCTTGCCCAATAGTAATAAAAAGGTTCTTGAAAGTTAAATTAGAGCTTTATAACTGGTTTAAAGTTAAACGGTAGAGCTTTGAACCCGCAGGCTCAATTTTGGCCTTTAGAGAGAGAAAGTTAGGGCAAAAATCCGTCTTAAGTAGAATAAGACCAGTTAAGGGGATGTAAAGTAGTAATTGGGTAGTTATGGACTTAGAATGGATCAATAGGAAAGAGTTTACGAATGAATATAGCCCTAAGTGGTAAAAAATGAGTTTTTGATCAAAATGGACCAATTGACTAAAATGTGCCAAATGTGTTCAGATTGGCATATTGGACTCGTGAATAGAGAAAGAAAGATTGAGAAAAGCTTGAGTGATAATTGAAATTCACGGGTAACCTTTCTAGTGACAGAAAGGTTGAGGTAGCCGGATAACTTTCTTTGTTTGACTATTTATTGTAATTATATGTTAGTATGCTATGTAATGCATGAAATGATTTTGAATTAAGCATGTTTTATAGCATTGAGTGATTGTTGTGTGAAATGGCTTTTGATTTAAATGAGCATTGAAATTGCATTTTTGTAATGTAAAAAGTAATATATATATATATATATATATCACGTGCAAGAAAGTGTTAAATTGTGAAAAGGGAACCTTAAATGGTTCGAGAAAGCATGATCTAAGTAGTGGAAGTTCACATGAGTATGGGAGATGATAAAGACCACACAACGAGGTTTCCTTAGTACCCTATTAGGGTGTGGTATTGGAAACAATTCTTCTTAGTGCCTTGAAAGGTGTTATGTTACAGAAGATCTCCTGAGTGCCTATTAAGGTACTGTGTTAGAGATGAGAGACTCCTTAGTATCTTTGTTATACTGGTTGGAGTCAATGATGCCTCATTATATGTATTGGGGAAAACTATAATTTGTATTATGCATTAGAACGTCTTTGGCCGGGTGATTCTACCACTGTAGGTGTGCTCAAGACTACTAAAAGTATACATTGGTCTGAGATGAGCCTATGGTTTCATGTCGGGGTGATTTGGAGGTTTGGTTGTAGAAATCATGCTAGTATTTTATGTGATATGATGAAATATTTTGAGATAACACGGAATCCTTTGGAATTGATGAAAAGTGAAAAATAAAATGTGATGTGATGTAAATACTACTTTATGAGGTTTTAATGGTATACTATGTTTACTTTCATGTTGTTGCATATGATAGTCAATAGGAGTAAGTTATTTCGTTACGAGATTTTTATCTCACCCCGTGGTTACATATTTACAAGATCGAGAAGTGATCAGGCCAAGGAAAGAGAGTATGGACCGGCTTGAGTTAACAAGCCATGTACTCTGTGGTTGTGTAATGAACTGAACCAAAAGATTGTATATATAAGTATATATGAGTTGCCATAAGGTTGCATGCATGTATTGAATTGAGCTTTTGTGAAATCAAGCCCGAATTATGTGTATATATCTTATTTGAGATAAAAAGGGGCTTTGATTTGAATATGTTTGAGTTGAAATGTTTGTTTGTGTTGGTGAATCTTAAGCCAAGGAATAAATTATGATGAAATGAGTAATTTGAGGGCTAAAATTGTATTGTGGATATAATTTCATATGTATGAGTTGAGAAATAGCCGAGCGGGCTAAGTTATGTCAAGGAATGGCATAGTTAAAATTATAAAGAAATTAGAATAAGAAGTGAATTTGAAGTTAAATCAAATTTGAATCTATACATTTTTCATGCATCCGGAGAGTGAAATTCAATTCAAATGAAGGTGGAGAGCATATGGTCTCCCTTTTCTCTTGAGAGTTCCTCACTCTTTAACCTTGTTGTCACACCCTAGCATTTAAGGTGTGACCGACACAAAATATGAGATAGACTCATATTCCATAAGCCTTAAATAACTAAAAAATTTATTCAAAGTAACAATATAATTTACATCTAAATTAGAAGTTTATAAAGTTTTCGCTATTTTGTAGAAATTTTGTAGAGTTTCTCCTGTAATTAGGACCTCCCTAAAATTTTTATAATAACAAAAAAACCTGTTAGCCAAACCAGAAAGGAAATTTAACTTCACACCAGCAGATTTTACAACAATAAAATAAGACTAGGACCTAATTACGGTATACGTGGAGCATTAAACTGCAATTGTATAATATAATGCACATTTACATCAAACTAAATATCAATAGGTGCTTCCACTAACTAAAAGCAATAGTGCCCCTTAATGACTAGCAGGAGATGCAGGGTCAGTTACAATGTTTGAGACCAAAGAAATTTCGGGTGAGTAGCGTTCCAATCAAAATTATAATTTAAAAATAAAAATTTAAAAATAGTAACTAATAAATTTAATTCAAAATAACTTCATGAAATAATGAAACATAAACTTAAGCTAACAATAGAGAATGAGTTTTCTCAATAATATAACTGTGAAATTAAACAATGCTATTAGAATAACATAAATGTTTAAAATCTATACAGCTCATAAAATATAAAAATTTTCAATTATAGTGCAATTCGATAAAATACTTTTAGAGAATTAATAGAGAAATGAAAATTTTAGTTTAAATTTAAGAGGGTTTTATCAGAACGAGTAACAAGCATGGACACACAGTATGCCAGAGTAAATAACCAATCAAGTGTGGACACACAATCCACGAGAGTAAGTAACCAGTCAAGCGTGGCTGAAAGCCACGAAACAAGCACGGCAAGAGCCACAAATCAAGGGTAGGCACGAAGCCCACGAAAAACAAGCATGAGTGCAATGCTCATGAATAACCATCCCTCTGTTCCACGTGCGTTGGCCATCGTACGGGGCTAGCACCTCCTATAAACACCTTACTAGTTAGATGTACTATGGTGCGCCAAAGGCTAACAGGACTGCCGTCAGCATCCAACATTTTGAACTCAGTCCTCTTTATAAAAATCAAGTGTATGGAGAAAGAAAAATAGTATCAAAATTCTTACTTTCAAATATTATTCCCCTATCATTTTTCATTGCCCAAAATTATCATCATTTCCTCCACACAAATCATTGCAATAAAAATTTTTATATCAACATAGAATTAAACAATTAAACTGTTTATGAGAAACAATACCATTAAAATAAAAATAGGATTAACAAGAATGCATAAATAATTTATAAAGCAATAATAATAATATTTAAATAAATAATTTTTTATAAATACTTTACTGAAAATATATTCGAAACGCCACCCACTCACCTGAGAATTTCCCAAAAATAGTAAAGCGTGCTTCTCCTAACTTTTTCACTTTAATTTAATGATGTCCTTACTT